CCGCGACCGCCGTGCCCTTCGCGCGCACTCCCCACGTCGCCGCGCTCCCGGCCCGCGCTCCCGTCGCGCACGTACGCGATCTGCGCAACCAGGTCCAGCGCCTCGACGCGGTCCACGCCCGCGGTCCCGACGCGCCCGACGCGTCCGGTGCGCACCCATAACACGCACCGGTCGCGCCCGGCTCGCCGCCGCGCCTCATTCGCCACGCTCCGCTCGTCTCCAGCTCGCGCCATGATCGCGCTCCGATGCGACCAACGTGGCCGATCCGGCGTGTCCCGGAGCTTGGCCTTCCCTCCGCCGAGCCACGCCGCGCCACCGCAGCCTCTGCGCCACCGCGCAGGTCCGCCGCGGCCGCCGCGCTCTCCGCGCGCCCGGCATCACCGTCCTCCGCCGCCGCACGGGACGAGCGCCATCGCCAGCAAGCTCCTCCGAACCCGATGCTCTGATACCAATTGTTGTTGCCGTCTAGCCCTAGCTCTCGCCTACCTCTCCGCAGCTCTCTTGTTCTGCAGCGGACCGAGGTAGAAGAAGAAGGGAAGAAGAAGACACAGGTGGACACAGGAGGTTTCCGGCGCTCGAACGCCACTACCACGAGCACGAACTCGTTCCCAGGCACCACTCCAAGTTACACAGGCCGAGGGAGACCTTATACACGCGCTGCTCACACACCCATGATGCGCACGTACACGCCCCACGATCCGCATGCGCCGCCTGCGCTCACGACGCGCTCCTACGCGCTGGGCGCGGCTGGAACCCGCATGGATCGCTAGCGTCTACCCCTATCCCGTGACTATCTCTAACGAACATGCACTCACGCACACACCTGCGCATGCCCGGTCGCCATTGACCTGGCACGTACGCGTACACTCGCGGGTCACCACGGACCTGAGCATGGCTTATTCCCATCACGGGGAACCGGCTGAAACTGAAGACGTGGCGGGGGAGGAGCGCGCGGTGACTTGGTCGAGGATGGCAGTCGCATTAAGATCGCAGATCTCCACGATTTGCTTCAGCTTGCTCCTGGTCAGAGGGGAGGGCGTTGACAGCAGTGGCAGCTCGAGGAGGCCTGAAATCGCCGCTGTCTTGACCTTCTTGCGGCGGGACGAGGAACGGCCAGTGCAGCGGGAAGGGCCAGCGCCTGGGTCCGCATCCGCGTCGGACGCCGCCGCCTTGCGCTTGGCTGCACGCTCCACGGAGCCCAAACGCACCCCATCATGCGCATCCCAGAGGCGTCGGCTGCGTCGCGGGGAGATAGCCCCCTCCAAGGCAGGGAGCGCAGCCTCCAGACCGCCGACGGCCCCCTGGCCCCCGTCAGAGGCCGGTACCAGATTCAGATCGAGCGCGCCAGGAGACAAGCCGCGCTGATCATTCGCCTGGCCCACCTGGGGGTCAAGGAGCTGCAGAGAGGAGCTCGTCGGCGGCAGGGTCCCGCGGCGGGTCTCGGCAGCTGCAGAAGACGGTAGCGACGTGGGGGGGGGGGAGCGCGGCGCACGCGCCATGCATAAGGTCAGTCAGCGCCACAGGCGAGGCTTGACCACAAGGCAGGATACCAGGTTCAGGCCTGGGGATGCGGTTGGCTGGCCGCGAGCAGATGGGCCGGGAGGTGAGAATCTGGTGGGCTTTAAGATGGGCCTGGGCTGGAAAGTAAGCAGCAGCGGGGAGGAGCGGGCCGTCCCCGGGAGAGAGGGGGGGGGGCGACCGCGGGCAGGAGGCTGGAAGGCACATTGGGCTTGGGTGGATACTTGCACTCCACTGAAGGCAGCAGAGGCAGGGTGTGGGGGCAAAGGCTGCCATCGAGCAGCTTGGGCCAGAACTTGAAAAGGAGGGACCTGCAACTTTCCCGCGTGAGCTCCTCGGAGGTGTAGCTGAAGCACGGGAAGTAGCCGTCGCCCACGGAGAGCGGCCGCACCGGGATGGTCCCAACGACCGAGCGCCGGTTGGCAAGCTCCAACTTGAAAGAGAACTGCAGCTCTTCAGGGTCGAAGGAGACGGACACCCGCGGCACGCGCGTGTCGGCGGCGAGCAGGGAGGAAAGGAGGCAATGCCTGCCTTCGTCCTCATGGCCGATCTGCGCCACCGTCGGAAGGGAGAAGGTGGCGTTCTTGATGAGCTTTGGTTTGACTGCGACCTTGAGCATGGCGAGGCAGTCCCGGACCGAGGCCATCTCGGGGTGGAGGAAAGCACGAAGGGCCTGATCAGCCATGCCCTCATTGCCCCCAAAGCTGCACAACGCAGGCCGGGGGTGAGCATGCCCCTGTCGTGGCATGGCGTGCTGGAGCGAGCTGCTGGCGCCGCCCCCTTCCACCAGCCCGGTAGGCCGGGGCGGTGCGGTTGGCGCGCCGAGGGAGCGGGCCACATCCCAAATTTCGTTGATGATGACGTTCGCGTAGATGCCATTGCCATCGACGCGATGGAAGGTGAGGTGGTGTGGGATATGGTGGAGGGCTTCGACTTTGACAAGCACGAAGATGGAGGAGAACTTGCTACCATGGAGGCATGCATGCTCAAGCCTGAAGAGATTGGCGAAGCCCGCAACACTGGCAGCGACCCCTCTCCTATTCCACAGCTCCAGCGGCATCTTTTCAAGGGAGATGCTAACAACGCAGCGATAGGAGAAGGAAAAAGCATTGTCACCGGCATTGTGCGGCCGGATCCAGATCTTGCGATTGCCAAGGCAGATAGGACTGGCACGCATGGCGGCGGCCTGCTCGGATTCACGCTGAAAGATAGCAAAGACAGTGCCCACCGAGCAGCCCGCGAACCGAACGACAGAGATGCCAAGCTGGTAGCGGAGGACGCGCTTTAGCCATGCCAAGTAAGCCGGGCGTGGTGGGACGATGTCAACGAGGCAAACGAGAGAGTTTTGGTCGGCGATCATGGGGTAGTGGATGTCGAGGGAGGTGGGGCGACCATG